ACAGAAAGGTCTGCCGTGGCCCCTCCCACAGGTGCCCTGCTCAGCCTCTGGAGCATCGATGCCTTGCTAAGCCTAACAGTAGCCACCACAAGTACAGAACACATCGTTCATCTGTCTCTAGCTATTACTTCCATTTGTAAGGTAAAGGCAGAGACTTTGGGCCAATTCCAGAAGTGTGCGAGTGGGATTGAGTGGAGCAGCCATACAGCCCCCTGGCTGGGGTGGGAGTATCTTGGACAATAATTGCTGTTTAGAAGGGTTCCCACACGCATTCTTATCACTGAGACACGATACTCAACACCCACAGCTCTAGAGGTGGAGTGGTTCAGGTTAGCTCAAGATTTCAAGAGAGTCAATCCATGGTCTTCAGGCTCCAAGGCAGGAACATCATGGCAGACACAGGGCAGAGCAGAGATGTTCCGTTCACAGTGGCCAGGAAGCAAAACAGGGGGCAGTGCCAGAGAAGAGTGGGTGGGGACCAGATGTGGTAGCCAAGTTTACGCCTCATGATCCGCCCAGTCATGCGCAGCAGTGGGCTTCACTCATTGGCTAGGTGCTTCTTAATCCAATGAAGTTAGCCTGTCAGGGTTAGCAGCCACACTATGGCACCTAGGCCCTGCATAGCGCTCCAGGGCAGCGAGGAGAAGTCGGTAGCAGTGTCACCCCAGCCCCCACACTGGGGACAGAAGGCATTGAGGACTCCAGACACTGGCCACCTGGGATGGGCACTGCAGAAGGCACAGCCAGGGTGACAGAGGGAAACGTTGTACACCGTGGGTAGCCACGTGAATGTCAAACCTCAGTGATTCTGTTGGTTACTTTTAATGCCCAAAATTAAAGGAGGAAGGGTTTATTTAATTCATAGTTTGTGGAAGTTTCAGTCTATATCAGCTGGCTCCAAGGCAAGGTGCTGTGGCTGAGGGGCAGCTATAGGGCTACAGAAGAGAGCAACAGCAACAAGAGCAAAAACAGGGAGCAAGCCTCTTTCCTGCCTCATATTGTAAGCACCACCACCACCACCCCACACCGTGGGTGTAGCGCTCATACCATCTCTGTGCCCTCCGCTTGCACAGGCTAAGGATGTTTACAAAGTGAGGACCCTGGCCAGCTGCTAAGTCCGTTAGGCTTGTAAACTTCTCAAGTTGACACGATGAACAACATCCTGGAACAGTAAGGGCAGGTCCTCTGCACCCTAGGATATGGAACTGCAAGGTTACTTAGTTAGGCTTCTAGACTTCTGAAGCTGACACAGTGTATCAGCCATCACAGTGATGCTGAGAACCACCCAGGGAAGGGCAGCTCAGCTGTGAGGGTGTTCTACAAATACTGCAAGACTCATATCACCCTGTGAATAGCTAAATAGACTTAATGTGGCCACGGGACACTTGCACTATTCTCAGATGTTCCAGAACATACTGGTCCCTGTCTGTGGAACCAGCCCCCAAATGCTGTGAGGCTGAAGGAGCAGCAGACTGATTCAAGACTACATAGAGTGCTGTTTCCTGGGGGACACGTGGTACTGGACCCCAGCAGGGCCAGCTAGACCCCAGCAGTTTGGATCAGAAGGATACCATTTGTGTTGATTACCACCAAGAACATTGCTCAAACAAGAATGTGTCCTGCTAATATCAGAGAGATCAAGCACATTCGTGGTGGCAAGGCCAGTGTCAGGGTCCAGTTGTAAAGCCCCACCTACTGTTCCCTGGCTTTATTTATGGTGTCCTGGGATGCTGACCAGTCATGGCAGTGAGGACTCGGGATGGCGCCACCCTTGTCCAGCTGAATCCATGCTGCGGTCTCAGCTGTCACTTTCCAGCCAGACCTCCAGCCCTGACTGTCCTACGCTGTCCTCCGAGGCACCTTTAAGTGACTGCTGTCCATCAGCTGGATGCTCACTGACAGCTTCCATGGTTCCCTGGCTGGAGCGCATTGGCAGCTTCCACTTTCTTTAGAAGCTGAATGGGGGCTGGAGGCTTAGCTCTGCTGCCTAAGCACCGTGAGTTCGATTCCTGGTACCAAAAAAAAAAAAGCTGAATAAGTGCAAAGCAAACCGTCAATGTGCTTCTTTTCCCTGCTTTGGCATCAATGATCCATTCTGGATTTTTAACTGTATCAAAAGAATAGGACTGCACACAGATGTGAGTGTGATGCGTGTGTGTGCATATGTGTGACTGCATGTGTGTGACTGCATGTGTGTGTGTGCGTGTGTGCATCTGCGGCTGGGTGGACTCTTCTGCAGGCACATGGCCGGCCCAAGGCTGTGGAAGGGTCTGCCTGCAGCTTCACATGCTCCTGGAAGACGTGTCCTGTGCCTGCACTGTGCTCTCATCTCTAAAACTAACAGTTTGAGGAAACTGCTTCCCAAACCATCCGTGCCTGAGGAGCCATCGCCCTGGGAGGTTTCTCCCTCAACTCATAATCACACACTAGGGACCGACTCTCAATGGTGGGCCAGGCCATGGCTGAGCACTGAAATACAACGGTCAACCAAACCACGACATCTCTGCCCAGCAGCTGACAGCCTACAGCGACAGGGGACACCTGCGCTCACCCGGCAGCATGGCTCTCTGTGGTAAGCGGGAGGAAGGGAGGCCTGGGAGAGGAGGACTACTCGGGGCTCTGGGGAGGAAGGCTGAGGCAGCAGGGAGCAGGTGAGGGACACAGACGGTAAGAGGCAGCCTCTGGATGGTGTCGAAGAACTGGGGGGGCCCTGGCCTCTCTTTCTGCTTGACCCTGGCTGCATTTACCTTCGGGACAAGGCTCTTCTGAAGAAAGACACTCGGGGTCTCGGGGTACATGGAGATGTAGCAGGCAATTGGGATTCTTACCTTGGTGACCTGGACCCCGAACAGGAACAAAGGGTGGTGTCTTTATTGTTTGTTAAAAGGATGAAGAAAGCAGGTTTCCCCTGGGCCCACTTTCTTTCCCCTGACCTCACAGCCAGGGTGCCATTCGGGTCCCCAGGTTAGGGTCCTCGCCTGACAGAGGCTGGTTTAGCCCAAGCTGGAGAAACCCATCCCGGTACAGCAGTGCTGTCCACTATCCACTGCTGGCCATGCGGGAAGCAGAATAGCTGCAGGCTCCAAGGTCACAGCAGTGTCCAGGGCCAATGGGCAGCTCCCTGTGGCAAGGGGGACACCCAGGGGTACACAGGTCCATTACCAATCTGCCACAGGACCCTGGGCAAGTTTGTCACCTGTTAATGTGGGAGGTGTGGGGCTCCAGTGGGTGGGGATGGAGTCATGGCCATGGCCATGGCCCCTTCAGCCTTTCCATTCTTGTGGAGCCATAGAAAGGAACTTCAGAGTAGCTTTCATCATCCGGAAGGATCCCAGAAGGCAGGCACAGACCTGGGGACCTGGCCAGGGCTTCCTGCGGGCGGGGATGGAGTAGGGAGGAAGGGCAGGAAGTGGAGCAGAAGGGCAGGAGTCTCAGGCACCCTAACCCCAGCTCAGGTGGCCTGGCTGGGCGTGCCCTCCTCCCACTTGTGGCTCAAGGTGGGTCCCCAATCTCAGTGCAGGACATGGACCCCTCAGCAAGCAGCTACTGAGGCCCTGGTGTTTGGGGGCCCTGTGTGTGTGGTCACCATGCCTCCTGAGCTGATTCCAGCCAGGGAGCCTCAGAGTGGCCAGGGGTGGTGACGGGAACCGTGGTGGCCTCTCCCCCCACTCCCCGTAAGCCCTAGAGAGCTGGCGGGAATGCAGGTGCTTCTAGTCCAGAGAAACACAGGAGAAAACTGTCCCCTAAGGAAGCATTGATTGCTGCGCCAGGTAACAGAGCAGCCCACCCTGTGTCTACTTAGAGATATGAGTCAGTCTCCCCAGCATCCGACTGTCCTGCGTATGGTCCCTGGTTGTCCTTGACTGCTGAGTGCTGTCTGATGTGGGTTGGTCATGTGAGCCCAGACTTCACCTTGGGAAACCACACGCCAGCCTCCCCCACCACCTGTGTATCACCTTTGGACCAGACCTCCCCCATCACCCACTTTCCCCATCAGGTCCAGGCCTCTCCTGAACCCCGCCCCTCCACCAACGTACAAGCTGTACATGCACGGTGTGCTCATACATCCAAGTGCACACACAAGCGCGCACGCACACGTGCATGCTCGGCTGCACACTCAGCCCTGACATCCCCATTGCTCACGGAAACAGAGATTTTCGTTGGGGCAGGTGGTGCAGCGCTAAACACACAGCCCTGGGGCCGAGGCTGGATGACAATGTGGAGTGAGTATGTGGAGTAATTCCCTGAGCAGCAGCGGCCTCTGTGGGCCTCTCTGTCTCCCACTAAACCCTGACTTCACCTGGGTTGGGACTCGCTCTGACCCAGCCTCTCAGGTTCCCCAGGAAGAGGCCTGACGTCTGCTGCCCTGGTGAGCTGTGGAGTTCTGCACCAAATGAGGGCCTGAAGTTCTGGGACACACATGTGGGGGCAGTAGGTCACCTCGGGTCATACAGCCACAGGGTTTGGGGGAAGCCACGGGTGTACCCTGAGGCAGACAGGACAGCAGGCTTGGAGGTGGAGGGCTGGGTGTCTGAGTAGCTTGAGTGCCACCCTGTCTGCAGAGGGACAGTGGCCCTGTGCCACAGGCTGTGGAGTGACCAGATGCATACAAAGTACAGGACTTTGCAGCTCATACTTGCAATCCTAGCACTCTGGGAGGATGAAGCAGGAGAATCATAAGTTCCAACCCAGCTCAACTCATTGACCCTGTCTTAAAAAATTTAAAAAGGGTTAGGGTGTAGCTCAGTGCAAAGGCCGTGGGCTCAATTGCCAGTACTACAAGGGAAAAAAAAAAGCATGGACTGACTGGGACTGCTCTAAGAAAGTTAAAGTCTGAGAGACCCTGCTGGAGTGAGGCAGCTGGGCAGCCCTGGAGTGACTGCAGGAGGCCCCTTGCCCAGTCCCTTGTGTCAGGTCGCCAGCCCTCAGGACCATGAACTGTAGGTGCATCCTGGTGCAGGGCCCAGCTGCTCTTCCCAGCAGACACACGGATGGAGGTGTGGACTGAAATCACTTTAATAGCATAGCAACGTCGTAGGACCAGGAGCCACGGGTGAAGGAGACACCAAGGCGTGCGTGGCACTAGGTAACTGCAGACATGGGTCATTCACGCGGAAGACGGAGAGACTGAGATGTAGATGGGACTGTGCTCCTGCTCGGTTCCTCCAGGGGGGCGGGCCAGAGCCTCTACACAGGGTACTCGTACTCCTCCTCTGCGCTGCGCCGGCCGAAGTCCATCCAGCCCACGTAGTCCCGGTCACTTATCCTGTGGTTGGGGTCTAGGCCCTGCAGGCTCTTGACCATGGCCATACGGCCAGAAGGGGCTGTTGGGCGGAGAGAGGAACAAGGGTGCTCACCTGAGAACAGGACTGCTCGGACTGTGGACAGCAGAAAAGGCCAGTGACAGACAAGACCTCACAGGTATGGCGGAGCCACCACGACACCAAATATAGGGCAGAAGGCCCAGAGGCTGAGCTGCCCTGGCAGTATTCGTCAGGGGCAGGTGGATTCCTCTGCTCCTGCCTGGTGTAGACGGGGGACTTGCCTCAGTCTACCCTGTTTCCTGACCTCTAACACAGGCCCTTGTCTGTGGCCCTCAGCAGAAGCCGACCTCAGCCTTCCCTGCGGCCCCTGCCAACTCCTCAATCTCACCCTGAGCATCTGGGAGCACAGCTGGCTCCCCAGAGAGCTTTAGGCTGGGTGAGTTATAACATCCTGACGGAGCGGTGAGAAACAAACCAAAGAAAAACACAAAAAACAAAACAAAAGGGGGCTTGAGTCCCACTGCTGTATCAATTCTGTTCTAAAGTTATTAACTTGAAAGCTACATTCTTTATGATCTGGAAAGACATGCTGACAGGTTGAGATCTCAGCTGTCCAGCAAACACCTTCCACAGACTCCTAGGTGAGGTCACCAGGACGTCACTTAAATCAGCGTCAGACCTAAGGAGACAGCAGGGCCTTAAGAGGGCGTAGTCCTGGGAGCAAGGCTGTCACTACCGCTGGAACCCAGGCTGAGCTGGCGGGACAGGAGCATGTGATATAGTACCTGCTGCACAGCAGACTTCAGCCCCCTGGAAATCAGGGTGCTGTTTGCAGAGCAAATCCCTCGGGGACCTGGCCTCTCACACAGAGAGGCGGTGGGACATCTGTAGTGTCCCCCAGCCCTGGAGGCGGGGCTGCCCTGCCCCAGCTGCTCCAGCCCAAGCAGTTTATGCGCTGATAAAGGACCCTGCAGGGAGGGCAGCCATCTCACTGGCAGCAAACTCAACCAGCTACAAAGCCAGAAACCAGTGTGCAGAATGAAGTCCCGCCTCCTGCAGCCCCTCACTTCCCTTTGGGGATTCAGTGTCTCCTCAGCAGGTACAGCCCCTCATCCTGGACACCTGCTGTATAGGATGAAGGGAATTTTGCTGGGACACAAAAAACCCACACACCTGGCACCTGGTGACAGCCATATGGAAATGATCCATCCTGCTGTCTGCTCTGATGACAAATGCCATTCCAGGACTGCCACCACCCAGGTGCCCTGCTGCTGCTGAGAAGTGACATGTCACCATTCTCTGGAGCTGTGGCCTCCACATGGACACAGTAGGCGTGAAGGTGCTGGAGTGGCTCTGGCAAAGTCAAGAGGCCATGCAGATGTGGCGCCTGGCCCTGCGGGTCCTGGCAGGCGTGACTGTGAGCCACTGGGCCACTAGAGGCCTCTCTTCGCCTCATCTCCTGACCCCTGAGAGCCCCCATGGGAGACGGCTCCAGAGAACTCAGCCCCCGCTCCAGAGCACCACAGGTTCAGAGCCATGTAAAAGTCTGATGTGACCTCAAAGCACGAGAATACCCCCGGACACCGTGTAGTCTGCGTGGCAAATACTGCCCGCCCCTCGAACCTCTGTCTTTCACAGGCACTGACCTGGGTGTGGCAGCAAATCACTAAGTGTCTGCTGCTCCCACCTGGGCTCAAATAGCCCAGTGCCAAAGAGAAGGGAGAGGGTGGAGAAGATGGCTTGGAAAAACCCAGCTAAGGGTCTCAGCACCAGACCCTCCTGGGGCAGGACTAGGAGCTAGTTTCAGGACTCGCTCTTTTTTCTAGATTGCTTCTCTCTGACCTTTCCCAAAGCTGGGGAGAGAGTTCCTTATCTATGGCTCAGTAACAGCCTAGGACATTTCAGATGGATCTGGCTGATCTTCAGACCCCATTGGGGGGCATAAACTAAATTACTTTCAGATCATCAAAGAGAAGCAACCCCCAAGCAGGGAGGCTTTCTCTGTTCTGCCTCTCAATGCACGTAGCAGGCAAGCAGCACAGGGATGAGGGTGGGCTGTTGGGGTGATTCCTCTGCAGGAGGAAGGAATGTGACAAGCGGTCTCCTGTCCTTTCCTTCTAAAGCCCACTAGATGAAAAGGGTCCCATCTCATCATCCTGTGAAACCTCAGGTGCCTGGTGAGCCCACTCCTTCCTCTTCTCCTTTGGTCAAGCCAGGGGCCAAGGCTGGGTAAAAGCCCCGTGGAAGGGTCCTGCGCCTGCCTCATCCGGCCCGTGGGTCCTGTGTGGCGTCCTGCCCGGCAGCGGGCAGCATCTGCGTTGCTGTAAAGCTGGGAGGAAAACCTGTCCCCAGTCATGATTCCTGCAGATGCATAGACGCCTGAGCCTCCTCAGCGGCAGAAAGAGCAGCAAGGGCTCAGGGATGCCCAGCCTCACCTCCTTTCTGCCACAGGGAGCCAGGTCAGAAAAGGGACCCCATGGCGGCCAGCTGGTCGCCCCATTCCGGGGGAAGGAGTCTGACTGACGCTGAGAACAGGAGCGCACCTCCGTAAACCGCGCTAACCCTTCGCCCAGGAAGGCGGCTGCGGGAGGCTCACTCTCCGCTCCTCCTAACTACGCCGGTGAAAGAGGGCACCAGCTCACTACTGCTTGTTGGATCCCAAGCACGGAGACCCCCTGCAGGCGCAGTCATTATCTTTAAAAGTGTCGGTACAATGCTGCTGAGCTTAATCAGCAGCACGACGGGCACCCACAGTCAGCTCAAAGCAAGGGTTTTCAGGAGGTTCGGCTCACGTCCTGCCGATCCTCTGTCAGCCACAGGACGCCCGCAACCGCCTTCTGTGGGCAGCAGGGCTCTGGAAAGGAGTCACCTCCTTCCGGGCACAGGAGGAGACGTCAGGGCAGCAGAGGGGCTTACCTTTCCGGGCCTGCTGGATGTACCGAGCGAGCAGCGCGCCCAGGCGCGCCCTGGGCTCAGCGGCGCCCGTCCTCGTCCGAACCTGCCTCCCGGGCGCGTCCTCCGCGCCCAAGATCTCTGGGCCCAGGGGTCCCGCCGGCGACAGCGGCTGCGTCCAGGCGCCAATCGCTAGAACCGCCATCAGCACGCACAGGCACAGGCCACCGTTCATGGCTGTGGAGAGAAGGGAGGTGAGTGCTGCGGAGAAGAGAGGAGTCGGGGTCCCCGGGGCGCCCAGATCTGGGGCCCAGAACCTGTGGGGACCTGGCTCCGCCGCGCGTGCAATGGAAGGAAGGTCGCCGTCCTGGGAGTGAGCCGGGTGGGAGAACGCGCGGTGAGAGATCTTGGAGAACGCGGGCCAGGGGCGCGCACGGCTTCGGAGGGAAGAGCCCCGCGGGACAACAGAGCTCTGCGCGGGGAGAGGGGCGCGGTTCCGAGCGCAGCCGGATCCTCCAAGTTTCCTGGACGCGAGGCGCTGCCCAGCGCTCAGACCCGGAAGGCGCGCCAGGCTGCGGCGTCGCCAAAGCGCGTGGGGAAAACGCGAGCTCCCATCCCCAAACCCCGGTTTCTTGCGTCATTCGGGGTCTGAGTCCGAAGCTACGGGGCTTTCATCCGAGAAGAGGCAGAGTTTTCTGCCCGCCGCTCACCTTGCCTGGCGCACACGGGGGAGCAGCACCGGCCCCGAGTGCGACCCGGAGGAGGACTTGGGGCGCAGCCAGGACCCTGGCACCTACCTCTGGGCGACAGCGCGGTGAGTCCCGCGGGTGCACCCAGGCGCCGTCCCTTAAGTAAGTCGGGTCGCCGTCACCTGCTGTGACGCAGCCCCGCCGCACGTGCGCACGGCGATGGCGACGGCTGGGGGCGGGGACAGCTCGGGAGCCCCCGCCCAGTCCATCTGCACCCCGCAGGCTCCAGGCGGCCCCGGGAGTCGGGGTTGTTCTCCCTGGGGACCTTGGGGTCCTTGGAGGAACCTGAGTAGGGACTGGGATCCTGCGTCAGCTCCTCCTCCACCTCCTAGGGCGACCAGAGTTCCACCTGTGGGGCTCTGGGAGAAAGGAGCGGTCCGCGTCTTCAGCCCCTTGAAAGCCTTGGAACTTCGGCTCTTGCTGTTCCCTGGCCGGGTTACCGCGGGGCCTGGGGAGACATCTGCCTGGCCCACACGCTCTCGCCGCACGCACACGCACTCCTGCTCCGCAGCAAAGCCTCGTGCCTGGTCTGCCGCGCACTCTCGCAGTCCAACCAGGCTCAGTTCGGCTCAGACTCGCCCTAACCCTAATCTACTGTCTTAGAGCTGAGGCATCGCCCCTTTCCTGGACCGAGAGGAAGGAGGACACCGTACATCCCTTGCGCCTCGCACCTCCTGCGGAGGGCCGCAGTCCATACCCTGAGACCTGTGGGTTGGGCGTCCACGGTCCACAGCCTGCGCCCCGAGATCTCCGCCACTACCTGGGGCACAATCCCCCGCACCCTCTTCTGCCCCCAGCTCCCAAGCCAGGAGGCCCCTTTGGAGAGAGTCACCCCAGGGACCCTGGCCTGGCCAGCGGTGGGCTGCGGGAGGACGTGACCGGGCCTGATTAGATCCCTTCTCCCTGCTGCTGCAGCCCGCAGAGCCTGCGGACCACAGGTGCAGTTCTGTGGGAAACCAGTCACTGGTGCCAGAGCCATGAGTCGGAAATGTAAACCTGGCACAGGGCAGACTCGCCTGAAGGTGCTCAGACACCCCCAGAGTTCTGATGCCCCTAGTCTGAGGGGGTCCCGGAGCCTACATTTCTACCCAGTCCGGGGCCAGCTTGGGAGCCTTGTGTGGGATCTCTGCCCTGGAGCTGGCCACCACCCTCCCTGCCCCGACGATTAATTCTTGTCTTTTTTTTTTTTTTTTTTTGTCTTTTTCCTTTTTATCGGTACCGGGGATCGAACTCATGACTGCCTGCTAAGGCAGGCGCTTATGCCGCTGAGCTAAATCCCCAGCCCCTTAATTCTTGTCTTTAATCACTTGCTCGGCGCAGACCCCAGGGCTGCTGATGAGACAGAGCCAAGGAAAACCTGCCACTGGTGATCTGGAGGCACTGGGGCAGGGCAGGTGTGGGAGGGGGCCTGCCAAGGCTCCTGGCAGGGAAGGCAGAGATCTGGGATTGGGAGGCAGGAGCCTGTCGGCACCAGAAGGCACCTGAGAGCAGAGACCAGGCCAGAGCTGGTTGGATTCACGGTATCTGGGAGGAATGAAATCAGGATAACACAGGGGCACAGAGGGATCCATGGTCAGGAGACGGGAAGGTGTGGACCAGAAGTGAAAGGAGAGGTAAGAACTTCCAGCCTGGGTGAGGAGGACAAGCTTGAGGTTCCCTGCTGGGAGGCAGGGCAGGTGGGGGACAGTGCTGGGGAGGGAGCTCAGGGCAGAGCAGTTGAGGCAGGCAGGGGGAGGCTCATATGGGGTTGATTTCCCCTGTGTGCGTAGACTGCCCAGAAGAGGTGGGACCCTGGGTATGGCTGGTGTGCCAGCTGGGTATGCTGCCAGCCTGGGGTTTGAGAGGGACAGGGATGGAGGGAGGGTAGAGCTGGTAGGGGAAAGGGTTCCTCCCACTGTCAGGTGTAGGCGCCTGCACCCCCTGGAAGGAGACCCCTGAGCTGGTGTGTGCTACAAAAAAGGAAAAATCAAAGGGAGGTGGCGCCCCCAGCTGCTGCATGGGCTCAGGTCTCTGTGGGCAGAGCCATGGTTCTCAGGCAGGACGGTGGGGACTGGGTTTTTCTTGTAACACACATGGACCTGGATGGCGGAGGAGCCATTTGCTCCCTAAGAACATGTCTACATATCCTTAGCAGCGTCTGGGAGGTGAGTTGGACACCTCAGTAGCCATCGGGCTGGTTGGGGCTTAGAGGAGAGTCCCCACCACAAGCTTGCAAAGACGCCTGCACTCCTGTCCTTGGAAGCCCAGCCTAGCCGTGAGGAAGGGTGTCACTTCCCCAAGGAACCCAGGGTAGGATGAATGTGACCTTGTCTCCTCTAAAGGGGCTGTTCTGGGAGCTTCTGGAAACTTCCAAGCAGCACCAGATAATGTCTTTAGTTGGCTATTCCCTTTCCTGGCCTCACTCTTCTCATGTCTTCTGAGGTTACCCCCAGACAAACCACTCACCCTCGTCTGTCTGAGTCCAGTAGAATCCCAAAGATGGCAAACATCACCAGGCCCCGCTGAGATTCGACAGGAGCAAAAAGCACCAGACACTTCTGCACGTGAAGCCTCCCCTGCAGCGGGGGGTGCAGGGGACCCAAGGGAGGCACATGGCCCTGGCCCTGGGAAGCTGGCAGAGAGCTCACAACATGTAGGCACTGCTGCTGGCCCAGCCTGTAGACCACTGGGCTCATTCACCCAGGAAAAGTGACTCCTGCTTTTCTATAGGGTGAGAAAAGCAAAAGGTTCCCCATTTCCAGGGTGCCTTATCTTGTTCCATGAGTCTCTCTAGGGGGATGAAAGAAGCAGGGCCTTCCTGTTGTGCCCTGTCCTCTGTCCCTCACCTGCTGGGCCAAAAACCCTGCATGGGTCAAGGTCCCTGTGTCACCAGGGACTGGAGCCTGGAGCTGCATCCAGAGGGAGCCATGGTGAGGAGACATCTGACAGCTGACCGGCCTGGAGTCAGGATTGCTGTCTAATTTTGCTGAAAAGAATTAGGATGGGCTTCCCCAAAGGGCAGCGTCGAGAGAGACGTGGCATCTTCCATGCCGCTGTGGGAGGTGTCTGTCTCAAAGACACATGTCCACCTGAACTTGCAGGACACTGGATTTCCGGGGATCCAGAGGAGCCTGCTAACTCCTGAGTCCTCCATTACATTGTTACCGGAAGTCAGGCTCCGCAGAGGCGGAGAGGCTGTCAGCTCTGATCAGAAGGCACTGGTTTGAAGGCTTCAGTTTGGGTCTTGCATTTTTCCTCCTGGACACATTACAGGTGCCACTGTTTGTCCTGGGACATTTAAAGGCCACGTGGCTTCCGTCACAGCCTTTGCCTTCAATGATTCAACTGCAAAGGATGCAGCTGCCCTGGCCCCGTGAGCAGCAGTCTCCGTAGGGCCCCTCATTTGGTTTGGTTTCTGCCAGAGCAGAGACTGAGTGCAGGGAAGTGGTTTTGAAGCTGGGGCTCTGGCTAAAGCAGGAGTGGTGGGGGAGACTCCAGAGTGTGTATTATGAGTGAGTTGCTGCCGTGGACCCTTTGGGGTTTGTAATAACTATGGTCACTGCAGGCAGTTGGACGGAGGTGAGGTCAGCTCCCAGCAGGTTATCTTCATGCAGAGCGAGTCCTCCTCCAAGACCTTTCCCCAGCCAGCATCCAAACCTGGGGCCGCAGAGCTGAAAGGCCTGTCCCCTGGAGGTGGGTTTGCAGAAGTTTTGGAGCTCTGCCTGGGGTTATTTGAGCGGGGACCTGGGGTCTCTGTGATCCTGAGGACTCAGCTTCCCCTGGAAGCACAGAGTGAGTCTGTGACCCCGAAATGATCCTGGCCTCCACCAGAGACCCCACCTGCTGGCCAGTGGCTGGCATCTGACCTTCCAGTCACGGTCCTGCCTGTGGAGCTGGGGCCCAGTGCAGGCCAGGGCTTCCCTGCAGTGGTGCTGTCTTGGGCGATGGCTTGGGAATGTGGCTTTTATTGCAAATTATTAAATGTATAGAAACATTCTGATTAAGTAGCAAACTGTCTGGCTTGCCTGAAATCCAAACTTAAGTCTGAGCGACTGCCTGCGTCTACCTCTCTGTGTCTTCCAGTTGGCCGTGGCTGCACATTTGTGTACTGCGATACACATGGTTTACTATGAGTCCTTTCCTTCTGTCTTAGGTGCTCTGAAGGGAGGATGGGAAGCAACTGTGTATGTGTATGGGGGGGTGCACTGGTCCATGTGAAGCTCATCTGGGTTGTGAACTGGCCTGAATCAAAGTTAGGGTGCTGTCCCCGCAACACTGGTGGGACACAGGGGCCCTGTCCTTTGGGGTGGGTGGAGCAGCCTTGAGCTTTCTCAGGTGGGCACTGTGGGCTTAGGCACGGTCACTGTAAGGACAGGGCCTGTGCACTTAGGAATCCTGCCAGTGTTGGAGCCACTGAAGCTGAGTACACGTGCAGCGCTGAGGTGTGGCCTGGGCACAGGTGAACTTAGAACGAGGAGACATCTTGGGGCAAGACAGGCCACAGCTGAGGCCACCTGGAGACTTAGTTTCCTTAATTAGCATCGTCTGTTGCTCTGAGGAGTCCTTGAATCCCTCCCAAGATCCTGCTCAGGTGTCCTCCATTGTCCACTCAGCTCCTTGCTTGTTCTGAGTAAATACGGGCCACCCAAGGTCAGTCAGCCAGCTGGCTAAGGGTTATGAGCTCTGCCAAGGATTTCATTCCTCCTGCGGCCCTAAAGACCATGCTGCTTGTCTCATTCCTTCGGCATGCATCCATTAAGGGGTTTGGGGATCGAGGCACAGACCCCAACATATGTCTGTTCCAGTCTTTAGAGGCCGAGGTAGAAGCCCCACTGA